AGCAGCGGCCGAGCCCGCCCCTTTTCTGCCCGAAGGGGTGGGGCCACGGGCGCGACGGGGCGGGGCGAGCAGCATTGTGGCCCCGCCCCCGACGCACAGCCCCGCCTCCTGCTGCGTGGGTCGGGGGGCGTTCGCGTGGACTAGCCGAGGCGGGGCTTTCCGGGGAAGCCGCGGCGGGGAGAGGAGGAGGCGAGGGGCTGCGGCGCCGGGGAGGGAGGGGCTGCAGTGAGGTGGAGAGACGGGCGGGAGCGCGGTGCCTGCGTGTCAGGGCGCGAGCTCCTCCTCTCGGACGGGGAGATCCCGTTCCGCTAGGTGCTGGATCCTCGCCCAGTCCTCTTGGTGGTTTCCGCAGTGACCTCAGATGAGAGCGGGCGGTTTTCTGCGGCGCTCACAAGCTCTCATCCGCAGCCGCCCTGGCCAACTAGGGGACGGGGGTTCTTGGTCTGTTCTGAGGAGGATTTGCTAAGTGTCCTCCATCCCACCTTCCCCGCTTTAGGTTTGCTTCCCTGGGTAGCGAGGTCATCCTCTGGGTCTCAGATCTCTTGGTCCTGTAGGAGCTGGAGAAATTAGATGTAAAGGCCCACCCTTGACAGAACGCTCTTTCTGACTCCAGAGGTCTTTTATTTGAGTGCCAGGCACTGGACTAGGGGCATTTTAAAAAGATTCATGGGAGGATGTTTCTTAAGAGTTCGCGCTATCAGATGGCTCTTTCCCAAACTTTTTAGCTGGTTCCTTTTCCTCTTTTTTGCCCTTTTAATGTTAGTGTTCCCCAGGCCCCTTTTCCTTTCTCCTTTGTAGAGTTCCCTGAGCTATGCCATCCAAGCCCACAGCTTTGAGATCAAAGTGGTGCCCCCATAAGCTGATGACCCCCAAGTCTTTCTTTTTGCCCGTATTTCCCTTGTGCTCCAGCCTCTGGACACATCCAGGTGAAATTGCTGTAGACACCTCAAACTCAGCATAGCTTCGGAGATAGATATCAGCTTGGCCTCTGGTGCCAAACAGGTTTAGTAAATGTGCAAATGGTCAAATCATTAATCCCTGAATCTCAGTGTTTCTTTCTAAATTGCAAACTGAAGATAATAGTACAACTGTACCTCATAAGATTGTTATGAGTATTAAATAAAATTTAAAAAGTAAGGCAGTTAGCACTATGCCTGAGATCAGTGTTCAATAAATGTTTCATGATGATATCCATAATTAAAAGTATCCCCCATAGACTTCCCTTCCTTTTAGGTTTCTTACCTCAATAAATGGCCTACCACCTGGTTGCTTGCCCAATAACTGAGCAGGACACTTTGGGTCCTTGCTGATCAGGCACTTGCTTCTTCAGGCCAGTCTCCTCAGTCCACCCTGGTCTGGCTGTGTCAGGCACATGCTGCTTCCTTTACTTCCTTTTTCAACTTCTGTGATTCTCATGGAGGAGCAGTTTCTACCACTCCTTCGGCATTTAACTGAAGTTTCCCTTCCTCTCTAACAGCTTCTCACACTACCTTCCCACCACTGTCACACCCAATTTGGTATTTCCTTTCCATTCCCAGTCTAGTTTCTATATGGCTATTATCACATTTGTCTCATTCTGTTGTTATTTTTTTGTTTACAACACTTCCGCCCTCTTCAGACTTTGGATTTCTTCAAGGTGGGTCTATAAGCACTCATTAAGCATTTGCTGAATACACAAATGATTGCAGTTTATAGAGGAAGAAATGGAGGCAGTAAAATCAAACCGAAGACTAATAGAATTGCCTGGGCAAGAACCCATGAGAGGCTGAAGTAGGGTAATGGCCATGATGTTAATAGAATGGGGGTAAGTTAGACAGCAGCATCTATGGATTTGGCAGCTGATGAGGTGTTGGAAGAGAGGGAAAAGTCAAGGATAACACCTGGGTTTCTTATTTGAGTTAGTATAGATAATGGGGCTACTGATCAGGAGAGAATACAGTTTGTGGGAAAGATGAAGGGTTCACTCTTGATATGTGAAACTGGTGATGTCTTTGATACCATCCAAATGTGGTATTTCAGCAAGTGGTTGAAAATGTGGGTATAGGGTTAAAATGGAGCATATCTCCTAGAAATCTTGACAGTGCTGTACAGGCAGCAGTTAAAACCATGGTTATGAATGTGTGAGTGGTGCTTGGTTTGCTAAATATTCCCTGTTCTCTTTTAGGTATACAGTGGGATTGAATGACCTGGCTTCCTTGTGGTTGGTTTGAGCTACACAACATGTTCTGCCATTGAATTGTGAACATATCATTTAATTGCTGATGCAAGACCTCCCAGAATGCTTTTTCTCTTTGCCATGGTAATCAAAAATGTTCCAGAGAGCATATGCTCTATCAGTTTTGATCTCTGAGGAAAAATGCCAGATAAGGTCCCTGCCACCTCATGATGGACATACGAAGTGTGAAGTAAACTTTGATTGTTTTAAGCCACCGAGATTTGGGAGTTTTATTACCAGAGTGGATCTTTGTCACTCCTGGCTGATGTGAATGAGAAGAACAGGTCTAAGCACGAAACCTGGAGGACAGCAATGTGCTTGTCAGACTCTTTTGTTTGCAAGAAAGAGAGACTCAGAGAATACGTTAAAAGAGGGAGAAACGAGAGTATTTATACAGATATGTGAGTATCTGTGAGGTACCCAGGCACCTCTAAGGATAAGCTACTCTCATTTCTCATTGTGTCCCTGTTCTTCTCTACCTCCTTAATCTGTTATCATACTATAAACTGGCTCATTAATCTTCCTTTTACCCTCTAGTCCACATTTCAGAGGAATATAATCCAGTTGCAGAGCCCTTAGTTCTAAACCACTTCATGGTCTACCAGCCAGATGCTGATGGGCCACACTTGGGTCGGGTACCCATCCTGATCTAAACAGTGTCATCCCTACCCAAAACGCTATCCAGCTCTCCTGGACACAGGAGTGCTGGTCGGGGCAATGTAAACTGCAGTGGGACTTTTCCACTCTCCTCCCACTCCCATGTATTTTTCACAAAATTGTGGAAGTTGTATTTTACAAGGGGAAATCAGGTGCATCTTAATCCACATACACCAGCCCACCACAGCCAGTCTAAAACCCTCCTGCTGCATGAGGAGAAAAACCTATCTCCTTGCCTGGCCTACAAAGCCCTTTATGACCTAGTCCCTACGTGCCATTTGTACCTCACCCCTGCCACCTCCCTCTCACAGTCCTGCCACCCTGGCCTCCTATCTCTCCCTTCGATGAGCCAAACTGGTTTCCACCTCAGGGTGTTTGCATTCTGCCCTTGCTGATCTCTCTTGTTTGAACACACCCCTCTTGGTTCTTAGAAAGCTCGGTTTCCTCCTTCTTCATTTTAAGCTTCTCAGAGATGACTTCCCTGATTAGCCTCATCTAGACTCTTTACATCAGAGTCTTGGTATTCCTTGTTATTTTCTTCATAGCACTTACCACTACTTGAAATCGCCTTGTATGCTTATTCCTGTACTTGCTGTCTCTCCCTAGTAGAATGAAAACACATGAAAATGGGCATCTTTCCTGCCTTGTGAACCCCTATGCCCTGATTCCCTAGAATAGTCCCTGGCACACTAAACATTTTTAAGTGATTGAAGGAGATGATGGGCAGAGTGCTTGTGTGCTGGCTGTTCTCTGCTGCATCTCCATCCAGGCACACTCTCCACGCTTCCCTGCCTTGCAGTGCGTGTTAGGACATTGACCTCTAGGGACTGCATCACCCAGGCTCCACTGTGTTCTTGTCTTTCCAGTTAGGTTTGACCAGTGAGAGGCACCAGCAGAAAATTGGAGGATAGTAGGAGTGAGAGATGGTCAGGGTATTTATCTCTTCCTAACCCAGTTTCACTGTAGTTTTGGCAGTGGCTGAATTCATCCATGAACAAAGTTTCTGTTTACCTAGGTTCCAACTCTTTCCCAGCTCTGGTAATGATTTCCTGATGCTTCACCATCCCTTGCAGTAATTGCTTGATTAGACTCTTTTTGCTGTTGCTTTTGTTTCCTGCCCTCCTCTCCCTTCCCCACTGACACAGCAGAGCAGGTCAGAGGCTGACAAGTTCAGTACAGCTAACCCTTGAGTTCAGATAATTTACCCAAGGTCACACAGAGAAAATGGTGGAACCAGGTTTCAAATTAAAAGTAAATTCAGGGACTATGAGAAGGAAACAAA